GAAAAAAGCAAGCACACTGAACTCCTTGTTTCCTGAAACCCATGGATTCTGTACATACTTATGGGAGAAAGGAAACCTGTTAGCAATGACAGTCACAAAGTCCTCTGAGTGCCTGAGTCAGGACACCCTGCCCAGCAGTTAAGGAACTTTAAAATTACAAAAGCTTCAGGCTCTGAGGAAATCACATTGACCGAATCACAAAAGGTGCCCACACAGACTGATGTCTGGGAGATTCCAAAGTAGCTATGACAGCAATTGCCAGAAGGTACACTGTAACAAAGGGGAAAACACAGCCAGAAGCTTGCCCCAGGGGTGCTGAGGGGAAGGGGGTACCGCCTATCCCTGTCTGCAGCCCACGTAAAAAGTTTTACCAAGATAGAAGAGGTTAGAAGATAAGACAAACGCTGCTATTCTGCCAACCTCAAAACAAGGAGAGCTCCTGGAGGACAGGACCCTCAATCACAGGGCTCCACGGAGAGAGAGACTCCACCAGCCATGGCTGGTTTCCAGAATAGAAGATAAAGGAGCCTGGATCCATTGAAGGCTTCAGGAGATGAAGAAACCAAGAGATGGGATTCCTCCGATAAGGAATTTGGACTGCAGCCAGCTGAGGACTTCTAACTTCCTGACCAGGAGATGATAGCACACATTGTTTTCAGTTTCTACTTGCTAGGGCAGCAAACTAAATAAACACCAAACCTAGACACGCCAGGGATGGAGGAGGGATGCCTCTGGACAGTGTGTTAAGTGGCTCACACGTGCCGCCGCCCGCCGGCAGAGGTCAGGAGCATGGGGACAGCACTGGCCTGGGCTGCCTTGAATGGCTGCGGAAATAGCCGTGCTGGAGGGAAGCAGAGGGGAGCAAGCCTCATATCGCCTTAGGAAATCCGAAGCTATGTGATCAGGGATCAGTGGAAAGAATGCCTGGTGACAGTCTCTTGGAAGGAGCGTGTTAGAGGGACCTGGAAGGACATGGTCTCAGGAAACCGATTTGTGTCTCTGTAGCTGTGTGGGAGGCAAAGTCTTCCCAGTGATAAAGCTGAGGACCCTCCAAGCTCCCTGTCACCTGTAGTCAAGAGAAAAAGGGAGGTGCTATCATCAGAAAGGAAAAGTGACAGTGTGAGGCTTTCTCAGTGGCCTGGACCACGGGGAGTACTCCGCACCCACAGTCAGGAAAGCCTGCTGAGCCCTGGGTGTAAGACAACTTTCTGTTAGCATGTCAAAGGGCCGAAAGTCCAGAGCATCCAGCAACAGAGGGCTCTCTGAAGAGGGCGGGCTGCGGACACCACACTCTCGCTCCCCACCTGTCTGCATCCATGCCACTAGCAAAAGCCATTTGCTCTATCCCAAGCCCCCCGGCTTCCAGCAGCAGCACCAACACCACCAGGACAAGGGAGATGACACAGAGACTGAGCATCGATGGAGAAACAGGACCCAGTTCTGAGCTGGGGCTCCGGGTTGCTTTCCCAAACTCATCCCCAAGAAACAGGCACTGGGCGGGCAGGGGGTGGGGGCGGGGTGACTGTGTGTCTGCAGCCAGAAAGGGCTATAATGAACACACAAACACACAAGGAGTGTCCAGACTGCAGGGGTCTGTACTGACACCTCAGCCACTCTCTCGTACTAGGGTACTGCCTTCAAAACAGATCCGACATTGGTGGGAAACTCATCTCCTCTCCTGGAGTCTGAAGCTCCAAAACCCACAGCACAGTTGCCTGCTGGTGCTAAAATTCCTTCCTCTCTTCGGGTCCCAAGGACAAACCAGGGCATGATTCCACAAAAGCTCACTCTAGGGAACCAGTGAAGTTACTTTCTTACAGGGCTTAAGCCAATATGACCAAAGGGGTGTGGGTGTTCTACCCCATAAAAAGTTGTACTGTAGCCAGGCGTTGGTGGTGCACGCCTTTAGTCCCAGCACTTGGGAGGCAGAGGCAGGCGGATCTCTGTGAGTTCGAGCGAGTTCTAGGACAGCCTCCAAAACAATACAGAGAAATCCTGTCTGGGTGGGGGGAGGGGTGTACTGTAAAGTCTTTACTCAGCAGAGAAGAGGACTTCCCCATAGCTTTGCTGATGGCCCCCCTTCCCCCAGGTCCTCCTTGCTTATATACTGTAGCCCATCCAGAGGCAGACATTCATACACAGGTGTCAGGGAGTGGCTGGATATGCAGGGAGGGTCCCGTGACCCTCCCACCCCACCATGAGGGCATGTAAACAGTCTAACAAGCCCACCGCTGTGGAATAACCATCCTTCTGTACACTGTGCAGATTACACTGTGATTGGTTTCATAAAGAAGCTGACTGGCCAATAGCTAGCCAGCATAGGGTTGGTAGGAAAACCAGACTAAGGACACTGGGAAGAAGATGGGTGGAGCCAGAGAAGTCAACATGGAAAGTAAACAGGAGTTGCAAGATGAAAGGTAACACCAAGTAGCAGAATGTAAATCGACAGAAATGTGTCAGTGTCGGTTGTAAGAGCTAGCTGGTAAATAAGCCTGAGCTATCAGCCGAGCATTTATAATTCACATAAAGTCTCTGCATTAATCATCTGGAAACTGGCAGGCAGGAAGGAAAAGTCCATCTACAGCCCATGAGATGCTCCTCTACAAGCCGCTGTCCAGCCTGTTCAGTCCACTGCTAGGCACAGGTCTGGGCCAGAAACAGAACGTAGCACATGGATGATGCTTGGTGTCTGTTTGCTAATGCCAGGTAACACCACCACCCTGTTGGCAGCTCTGATCATCCCCGCTTTGTGTCCTGGCCTGGTCACACCACAAAGGGTGGCCCCCTCTCTGTACCAGACTGTTTGGGAAAGGTGTGTGAGACACCAGAGTATAATAGGAGGACACTTGGACCCAGACACACAAGGTTCTGTACCTATCCAACTTGCCTGCCACTGGGCTACCTCTGAAACTCTACACTAAGAGGATGAGATGCCTCATTAGGCCAGCAAGCCCCTCCCATTCTCAGCCACACCCAGCACCGGCACCTAGCAAGCTCCTGGGTGCCAAACACTGGCTTTGGCTTTGAGTGAACAGTCAAGAGTCAAATACAGCTGGGCGATGGTGGCGCACGCCTTTAATCCCAGCACTCGGGAGGCAGAGGCAGGCGGATCTCTGTGAGTTCGAGGCCAGCCAGGTCTACAGAGCGAGTTCCAGGACAGCCTCCAAAGCCACAGAGAAACCCTGTCTCGAAAAACCAAAAAAAATAAAAATAAAAAAATAAAAAGGGTCAAATACAAAGTCTGACCAGCTGCTGTGGTTCTGACTACAGCATGTCCCAGATCCCTCACAGGTGTATGCTGACACCACCCACCTACCTGCCACCAAAAGCAGCACTGAGCTGGAGAGCTGGTGAGCTAGTTTTGGTTAGTCTTGGTTATGGAAGTTATGCTAACAGTCAACCGGGGAAGGGGTAAGGACTTTAAGCTAGTCCCCCAACACAGACTCCTGAACAGAACTACCCCCTGTTCTCTGCTCCCTCAAGGTGACTGGCAGCCCAGAAGTCACCAGTAAAGTAGGCACAAAGTTGGTGGCCTGGGCCACTGTTGACTCTGTACCTCAGTCCCCCAAGGGTGTGTGCATGGATACCTGAAGAAGGGGCCTGGCCACCCGCCTTGCTCATCTGACGTCACACTTGGGGTTCTGGGAACACAAAAGCAGCCTGGGAGGCTAGGAAATGAGCTCAGTTGCTACCACCCCCACGCAGGGAACCAGCAAGTCTCACGACATCACATCAGCAGTATTACAAAATCCTCTGGTGACCAAGATTCCGGATGCATCACATCCTTGGCCTTGATGGAGAAAGTGGCTCTGCCCACCAAAGTGAAACTGATACTTAATGCCCTTAAGGGACACGGGAACCCTATGCTGTGGCCACACATCTGTCTAATCCAGGAACATCAAGAGGGTGGAAAGAAGCTGACCAATTCTGCTTTCTCCCCTTATAACCAAGGACAAGCCTGTTATACTGAGCAAAGAGGCGGAGCTCTGTCCAAGACCGGAAAAGAGTCCAGGAACTGACTGGTCTTGAGTCTCAGAGATTACATTCACCAGTGCTCAGGGGGAGGCAGGCCATCACCTGCAACCTGGAGGAAAGGCCAGAGTCAGAGGAAAGACTCGGAGAGTGGAACCAGTGCGTTCCCCACGATGGCTAAGGAAGGAGCAGGGAAGGACAGGAGGAATGAGGACACCAGAGAAGGTGCCGGAGACAGTCACTAATGCAGTTTTCATCAGAGAACGCATTATGTGTCCAACAGATTAATACGCCCAAAAAAGGGGACAGGGGTTAGGAGCAAGACTTTTGAGTACATCAGAACTTGGAGTTTCAGAAATCGGAAACCTCACTCCATGAAACTATGCCATTTCCGGGTTCGTTTATTTGTTTGTTCCCTTAAAGTATCTTATTTCTTTATCATGGAAAAGAAAGAAAACACAAAACAAACCAGCGCTAATTTGTAAAGCCCAAGACGAAGAGGAACAGACAGTACACGCACTAAAAATAATTCACTACCTATCTTAAAAATGCCAGTACAGGAAGCTATTCCACCCACATGACTTCGCGGGCACCAGCCAAGACCCAGCAGAGGGTAAATAACCCTGAGTTACAGAGGCCAGGAGATTCCAGCTCTACTTCCCAGTAAACTTACACCCAGTGGGCCTGCCTGTCCAATGCTCTCTGCCTCAGTTTCCTCGTTCGTAATGGGACCAGTACTAGCAGCGCCGCTCAACTCCCCCGGCTGCTTGGCACACCAAAGGAAGGTACCTTGAGGGGGACACTAAAGCATCTAAGATGCGGAGTCATGCGGATCAGGGATCTCTTCCAGGATAACCTAGATCTTCGCGAAGAGGCAGAGAGTGTAATGAACTGGAGATGTTTCCCAACCAGCAAGGCAGGACGAGTGGGGACAGAGAGGCAGTGAACGCCACAGCCCGAGGTGGAGACCCCGCGTCTGCCCGGAGACGAGCCCCGAAGGCATCCTGTCCCGGTGGCGCCGCCCTCACCTGCGGTGTCCCATATGGAGATGTTGAAGGAGCGCCACTGCTTCAGGTAGAAGGCACCGCCCACGGTGCTGACCGTGTCCGGGAAGCGACGCTCCATGTAACGCTGAAGTAGAGACGTTTTACCCACGTTCATGTCCCCCAGCAGCACGATCTTCCCGTCCGGCTTCCGCATGGTCTCGGTGGACGTGGCTCCTGCGCACCTCGGTCCCCCGCCCAGGACGCTAGGGGTAGCGGACCCCGAGCTCCCAGGGACCCCGGACTCTAGTGGCCCCGACCTGAGGTCGGGACGTGCTGTAGTGCCAAAGAGGAAGCGCGCTGAGGCTCTCCGGGCGAGTGTGAACTCAACTCTGCGCCCCACGTGGGATTCCCGGCCACCACGCCCACGCCCACGCCCCCCCGAGCCGCCCGGGCTCCGCCCCCAGCCTTCTTTTTCCAAGCCCCTTCCCCAGTGACCCAACACCTCTGTCACGCCCCTGTCCCTCCCCTCCCTCCTCTCCTAAACTCTCACGGTCTCCCTGCTAAACCTCAGTCCCACGCCCACCCCTCCCCATTCTTCCCCATTCCTTCTCACGGAGGCTCCCTCCTCCGCCCCTGCAATCCCAAACCCCACTCCCCCTTCATTTCCTTCCCAGTCACAGAGCCCTGGCCCCTGCGCCACCAGGCCCCACCCCTTCCCACCCCTCCTCCAAGCCCCTCTCCAGTCACCCCACACGCTCTCTCCTGAACCCCCTTTCCCCAGCCCAGACTACGCCACGCTCCCCTCGCCCTGGCTGGGTAACAGCATAGCTCAACCCCCACACTTAGAAGACTTGTATGCCGCCAAGCTTGGAGCCTAGGACCTGGGACCGAAGGTGAAAGTTCCAGAGAACCTTCTTTGGACACTCGCCTTCCTCAGCCGGGGGTTGGCGCAGAGCAAGCAGCCCAGCAGCTGGTGGCGATGTGTATCTGGTCCCAGGCACTCTCTCGGTTTCGCTTCTCCCCCCCCCCAGCCCAGCCCCCCTTGGTGCACCTTGGTTACACCCACACAGGTGATCCTGGAGAGTTTACCCTTGGGAGAGGGAGGATACGGTGGGGGGCGAGGACGCAGGGAGATACCTGCTTGGTGGGTTTGCTTTTCGCTTCTGCAAGAAACTTTCTGTGCGGCAATAGAGAGCAGATGCTGTTTGTTCAAAACCGGAAAACTTGACTTTGCATTTGCAGTGACTGCTAGCGAAGACTCCCCACCCCCGTAACAGAAAACCCTTGAAATGAGTTCCAAACCCTTCCCCTGTGCCTCCAGCCTGCAGGGAGGCGGAGGAGTTACCCGGGACAGGTAAACCTAGCGGGTCCTGTTCCCTGAAAGGAGAGACGAAGACACTCCTGAGGGCATCTCCCTCTGCAGGTGTGAGATTCCACTGAAAAGAGAACGCAAAGCCTAGAGCACCCTGCCCGCTGCGATGAGGACAAGCGCCCTTGGGAATGTAGCGAAATCGTGCGTTCTGGGGCGTGGAAGGCTCACCAGCATGTGAAACCCACTCCCTCTGAGCCCCGGGCTCCTGCTAGTCGCCTCCCTGTGGAATTTCAGTTACTTCTAATTTGTTGAGGGTTTGTTGCATGAAAGTTACCAGGGCCAGGCTGGGGCAATGACCAGACGCACCCAGGGATAGAAATGGGCGGGGTCTGTGTAAATACCTAAATCAAGCTCAAAAGATGGCAGGGAGATTTCAGGGCTCCCCACCCTGGGCATCCCTGCCCCACCCCTTCAGCAGGCGAGCATCCTGAGGATCGTCTGGTATCCACGGTTCTTCTAACTTTAACGGTGGTGAAACATTCTGAATTTCATGGTGTATTTGTTGAGAAGGGTTAACTTCCCAGTGGAGATGTACTTACAACAGAAAACAGCAACAACAAGAAACATTTAGAAATAAAACAACAAAATAAGCCAGGCATAGTGGCTCATTCTTTTAATCCTGACACTCAGGAGGCAGAGGCAGGCTGCTCTCTGAGTTCGAGGCCAGCCTGATCTACAGAATGAGTTCCAGGACAGCCAGGGCTGCAGAGAAACCCTGTCTTGAAAACCAAAACAACAACAACAACAAGAAAAAATAGGTACACAGAAAAAGAGCTGATCACTGTCCCTGCGGGTGTGTATTAAGAGTCGGACTAGCCGGGCGTTGGTGGCGCACGCCTTTAATCCCAGCACTCGGGAGGCAGAGGCAGGTGGATCTCTGTGAGTTCGAGGCCAGGCTGGACCGACAGCCTCCAAAACAGAGAAACCCTGTCTCGTAAAACCAAAAAAAAAAAAAAAAAGAGTCGGACTAAGCTGGGCAGTGGTGGCGCATGCCTTTAATCCCAGCACTCAGGAAGCAGAGGCAGGCGGATCTCTGTGAGTTCAAGGCCGGGCTGGACTGACAGCCTCCAAAACAATACAGAGAAGCCCTGTCTCGAAAAACCAAAAAAAAAAAAAAAAAAAAAAAAAAGTCAGCCTATCTGTGGTTTTGCTTTTATTTTTCTACCATTAGTGTGTATCACTTATGTTATTTCTTTTCTTGTACCACAATACTTGTACACGTGGATATGCACATACAGAAGACAAATGATCAATGTGTTGAGACAGGAAGGAAGCAAGAGAGGCATTTTGTTGGAGCTAGGCATAGTAGCACATACAGTATCAGCAGGTGAGATTGAACCGCGCAAGAAGATCATGAGTTCAAGGCCAGCTCTGTTGTGTAGTGAGACCATGCCTCAAAAACCTACAAGTTTAAAAACTCAAACCAAAGAGGAACATTTTAAAAACCCAGGAATATCCTTTAGAACCTTGAGTTTAAAGAAAACCTGGGCTGAAACTTATTAAAGTTTATACGAAATTTCCCCCACAAAACTCCTGTGTTGGATGCTCAGTTCCCAGTTGGTAAATCCAAGTGACCGAGGATAGTAGACAGGAAGAAAGGGGATTTAAGAGCCCTCTGAAGTTGTCTTCTTAATGCATCATCTTCTACTGAAGCAAATGACATAATGGGTTCTCAATAACACCCTGGGAAGCAGAGAGTCTCAGTTTTTTAAAGGATGCCCATTCAAAGTGCTGTGATAGTTGAGTAAAAAAAAAAAAAAAAGCACTGGCTTTTCAGTGAGGGGTCAAAAGTCACAGGCTGCATAGGGTTAAAGTTCAACTGATGAGCTCTCAGCTGTTTGCAAAGCTAAAGGGTCAAGGTCCTTGGAACTATAATTAGCTATTCCTTCCCTGCGTCAATCTAACTAAACTGAACCACAATCCCACGACAATAGTCGGTGTTGGTTATCCCTGCTGTCTTAAGCCACACACAGCTCTCCGTTCTGTGGTTAGAGCAGGTCATGTTAAGGGAAATGTGCTCCTTGGTTGTCACTGCCATCTCATTTAACACATCTGTGACACAATAAAATAAAATAAAATAAAAAGCGTGGTTCATCTTTTCGCTTGTTCTCTATCCAAACTGCCGCTTTCTCTGTCCATCCGTCCTTCCATCTCCCCCCTCCGACACCTGGCTGCTAATTCAAAGAACCGTCCTTCTCTCTCTAAGTCTCTCTCTGACTCCAACAGTTGTCCTTGAGTTCCCTTCTGTGTCTGTTTTTAGACTTGCGTTTATCAGCGAGACCAAGAATGTGCAAAGGATTCTGTGCCCCAATAACACACCATTGGGAGGTGACCGAATCCTGGGTAAACTGGGAACTTAAGTTTCCAGAAGAAGAAGAAAAAAAAGTGGCACCCCTGTCACAGATTCTACAAGGACGCATGACTGAGTCGCTTGCTCATGGAGAGTTAAAATGTTGCAACCAGAGCCAGATTATCTTGGACTATTTTAGTCCCTTTGAAAGCCACTCCTGTGTCTGACCTAACAGCCTTGTGACTGTCAAAACTTTTAAAATGTCGTCTCAGCATGCTACGGGCTTCCACCAACCCAAAAGCTAAGAATGTCACCAGATAGCACCTGAGGCCTTAGACAGGCAATTTTCCTGTATCTGCTGTACCCACCCCCCACTCCACCCCGGGGTCCCCACCAATGAGTTTGGTAAATGCCTGGATTCATGACTTCCTCTGTAAGTAATAAAAATCTCTCACAACATCTCCACAGTGGAACATGTCTTTCCAGCGTCCTAATTCTGCATTCCCAGGACACCATCATTCATATTTGGCATCAGTAGGCTATCTTGTCCCCTTAGTGGTGAGAGAGTGTTTTTGCATTCACAGGGCTCCGAACTAATCAGTGAGTGACTCCCTTGATGGCCTCAACACCCTGGCATGAAGTGTAGCTGCGAGGTGTAGTGTACACGTTTGGAGTGTGCGCCTCGACACAGTTGACACCTGTTCCGTTGTGGGATCACAGCTTGCATGCGCACATCAATGTTCCAAGGGGCTTCTTAGACTCCTGGGTCATGCCATATATGGCCCCTCCCCATCCTGCCTAGTCTCAACCAACCGTGAAGCTGTCATTACAGACTAATTTGAATTTCCCGAATTTTTAAGAAGATGGGATGATGTGACCTGAGTCTGGCTCCTTCAACAGAGGAGTCACCCATCAACATAAGTTGCAATGGAATGGCTTTTTCCTTTCACTCCAGTGTCGATCCTACTGTCTTGATCTACTTCCTGTTGGACACTCAGGTGTGGTCTGCTGGCAGTGGCAACGTTTGTCCCACCACCAGCAGCTCACGAGAGTTCTGACATGCTGGGTTTTGTTGTTGTTGTTCTGGTCACCCAGCTGGTGTGTCAGGGTCTTTTCCATTGTCCAGCTGCTAAGCTCCTTTTTATGTGAGTCTGCTGTTTGTACATCCTCTCTGATGGCATGACTCTTCGGGCCTTTCCACACAGGGTGGTATTTTTTAAAGACGCCACACCCCCAGGTGCAGATGTTACTAATGTGCAGCCTTGTGTGAAAGACACCAACACATTAGCCCAAAACGGTGTCATCAGAAACACGGTGATTTCCGTGCCAGCCTCTTGCGCCCCCTACTGGTGGTGGTCAATTCCTTCTGTAGCCTGTTGGAAAAGGCTTGATCCAGAGGGTCCTCTCTTACGGCAGGAGTCCAGCCAAGGGTGTGGGTGCAGTCCTTCCTGCACAAGCCCTCCTGCAGTAAGACGACTAGTTTTCACTTTGCTCTTCCCCAGGATCCAATGGATCAATTACCTTTCTCAGAGCTTGTCTCAACAGGAAATAAGAGTTTCTCAGACATTTGGTGGCACAGTAACCATGAACTTGCCCTTATGCAGCTGTTTACTTTTGCAGAGCAAACCAACTTGCTGGAACCACAATGTCTGTCATCATCTCAGAAACCCTTGAGTGCCCACGCTTTAAAACACTTCATTGTGTCCGCAAACAGAATTTAAGAGCCTCAATGATGAGTTCACTGCATTACAGTGAAGACTCCAGGTGTGTGTGTGTGAGTGTGTATGTGTGTGTGTGTGTACACGAATGTGCATCTGTGTATTGTGCATGTGTGTGTGCATTTTGTATATGCACGTGTGTGCATGTTGTATGCATGTGTGTGCATGTGTATGTATGCCTGTGTGCTCGAGAGAGCAAGTGTGTATTTGTGTGTTCGTGTGTGTGCATGTGTGTGCGTGCATGTTTGTGTTTTTTGCATTTTGTGTACGTGTGTGCATACCTGTGTGTACACTTTTTATCATAAAACTAGGGTGCAGTGAGGGATGAGGAGAGCCCTCAGGCTTCACCTACACCGGGTTTACAGTTTGCCTTAGGTCATGACTTAGGAACCCTGCCATGGGGTGTCACTCCTTCACGGTGGGAAATTCAAGTTACATTTTATAATTTTGGAAAAAAATGAGGGGGAAATGAAATTTCTCAATAAATGTATGAGTGGTTTTTGAAGATCAGCCAAAGATC